AATCAAGTGAATGTTAAGAATTTTATGTTGAATTGATCTTGTGTAAATCATCCAAACAATAAAAGAAAAATGAAATGGCGCATAATTTGTTTCACACATTTATCTCCAAAATTAAAACAGTTAAGCAGAACGACATTCTGAAATTTCAAAACCACAAGCCTATAAATACTAGTAAATGCATTTATTTTAATAAAATCTAAAAAAAATATAATGAACAGTATAAAAGCTTGTACCAATGTTCATAAAAAGCTTAGTTTTCAAGTCATAAATTTTAGAACGAAACTTTGATTTTCCTTAAATTTTTGAATGAAAGTCGAAACTTTTTTTATAAGCTGCTTCATTTCTCAGGCGATTTGTGAAATAAAAAGCCAAATTTTATTCGTAAATTTAAAATTACGAATAAAAATAAAAATAAATTTTTACTTTTTTTCATATTCAAATAAGCTTTGAAAAAGTTCATTTGATATAATTTTCATAGAACCTTTTACAATAAGTTTCACTTGTACGTTAAAAAGTAAATTTTTTGGTTGTTAAAATCAAAAAATCAAGTTTAAATTGATATAAATCTGATCATAACTTCATAAAAAAACGTACAGTTAAATAAATTACCTTGTTTTTGAATTTATAAAACAAAGAATTGAAAGTTTAGTTCCAGACTTTAATTCTTTAATTCAGCATAATAAGGTTACAAGAAAGTGCTTTATGATGCACAATGTGCAATGACCATTAAATTTTGTTCACAGTAATAAAATAGGTGAAACGGTTGAAGGGGGGGGGGGGGGCGCACTTTTTAGGAACCGCTTAGGGCGACGAATACATCAGGACCGCGCCTGTATGTAGGTAATTAAAAAAAATCCTTAATATATTTTGAAGTTTAGCAAAACTAAATTCTACAAACTCTTTTCAATAACAAAATCAATTTTCATATTAGTGTAATAAAGAAATTATTAATCATCATAATTATGTTGCAAACAACAAGTATCTGTATTGCTGATTGTTAAATTTAATACTGACTACTTCTATATTAAATGCCATGTATTGTGTTAATAATACATACACATAGTAAAATTTTTTGTATCTGAACAATCGGAAAAGAATGTTTAGTTACAGTAGATTATTTTTGGATTATAAAGAGTTTTGGATGATGTTATTTTGCCAACGACCATACCACGTTGAACACACCGGTTCTCGTCTGATCACCGAAGTTAAGCAACGTCGGGCGCGGTTAGTACTTAGATGGGGGACCGCTTGGGAACACCGCGTGTTGTTGGCATCAGTCAACTTTTTGCATTTTTTTTACAAACCTTAACAAAAATATTATGAATAACGTTTTGTATGAATTTATTCCTATGCAACTAATTTTTTTATGAGGATTTATTGTGGATTTATATACTCGTATTACTACTGTTGCTCCTTCGTTTATTAGTATGATGACGAGAAATCCAATTAAATTCTGTTGAGTCTTACAACTCAATGAAAAATTTTTTTGATAGAATTTTTTTAATTACTGAAAAACAATATGTAGGTAATTAAAAAAAATCCTTAATATATTTTGAAGTTTAGCAAAACTAAATTCTACAAACTCTTTTCAACAACAAAATCAATTTTCATATTAGTGTAATAAAGAAATTATTAATCATCATAATTATGTTGCAAACAACAAGTATCTGTATTGCTGATTGTTAAATTTAATACTGACTACTTCTATATTAAATGCCATGTATTGTGTTAATACTCGTAATACATATACATAGTAAAATTTTTTGTATCTGAACAATCGGAAAAGAATGTTTAGTTACAGTAGATTATTTTTGGATTATAAAGAGTTTTGGATGATGTTATTTTGCCAACGACCATACCACGTTGAACACACCGGTTCTCGTCTGATCACCGAAGTTAAGCAACGTCGGGCGCGGTTAGTACTTAGATGGGGGACCGCTTGGGAACACCGCGTGTTGTTGGCATCAGTCAACTTTTTGCATTTTTTTTACAAACCTTAACAAAAATATTATGAATAACGTTTTGTATGAATTTATTCCTATGCAACTAATTTTTTTATGAGGATTTATTGTAGATTTATATTTTACTACTGTTGCTCCTTCGTTTATTAGTATGATGACGAGAAATCCAATTAAATTCTGTTGAGTCTTACAACTCAATGAAAAATTTTTTTGATAGAATTTTTTTAATTACTGGAAAACAATATGTAGGTAATTAAAAAAATCCTTAATATATTTTGAAGTTTAGCAAAACTAAATTCTACAAATTCTTTTCAATAACAAAATCAATTTTCATATTAGTGTAATAAAGAAATTATTAATCATCATAATTATGTTGCAAACAACAAGTATCTGTATTGCTGATTGTTAAATTTAATACTGACTACTTCTATATTAAATGCCATGTATTGTGTTAATAATACATACACATAGTAAAATTTTTTGTATCTGAACAATCGGAAAAGAATGTTTAGTTACAGTAGATTATTTTTGAATTATAAAGAGTTTTGGATGATGTTATTTTGCCAACGACCATACCACGTTGAACACACCGGTTCTCGTCTGATCACCGAAGTTAAGCAACGTCGGGCGCGGTTAGTACTTAGATGGGGGACCGCTTGGGAACACCGCGTGTTGTTGGCATCAGTCAAATTTTTGTATTTTTTTTACAAACTTTAAGAAAAATATTATGAATAACGTTTTATATGAATTTATTCCTATGCAACTAATTTTTTTATGAGGATTTATTGTAGATTTATATTTTACTACTGTTGCTCCTTCGTTTATTAGTATGATGACGAGAAATCCAATTAAATTCTGTTGAGTCTTACAACTCAATGAAAAATTTTTTTGATAGAATTTTTTTAATTACTGGAAAACAATATGTAGGTAATTAAAAAAATCCTTAATATATTTTGAAGTTTAGCAAAACTAAATTCTACAAACTCTTTTCAATAACAAAATCAATTTTCATATTAGTGTAATAAAGAAATTATTAATCATCATAATTATGTTGCAAACAACAAGTATCTGTATTGCTGATTGTTAAATTTAATACTGACTACTTCTATATTAAATGCCATGTATTGTGTTAATAATATATACACATAGTAAAATTTTTTGTATCTGAACAATCGGAAAAGAATGTTTAGTTACAGTAGATTATTTTTGGATTATAAAGAGTTTTGGATGATGTTATTTTGCCAACGACCATACCACGTTGAACACACCGGTTCTCGTCTGATCACCGAAGTTAAGCAACGTCGGGCGCGGTTAGTACTTAGATGGGGGACCGCTTGGGAACACCGCGTGTTGTTGGCATCAGTCAACTTTTTGTATTTTTTTTACAAACTTTAAGAAAAATATTATGAATAACGTTTTGTATGAATTTATTCCTATGCAACTAATTTTTTTATGAGGATTTATTGTGGATTTATATACTTGTATTACTACTGTTGCTCCTTCGTTTATTAGTATGATGACGAGAAATCCAATTAAATTCTGTTGAGTCTTACAACTCAATGAAAAATTTTTTTGATAGAATTTTTTTAATTACTGGAAAACAATATGTAGGTAATTAAAAAAATCCTTAATATATTTTGAAGTTTAGCAAAACTAAATTCTACAAACTCTTTTCAATAACAAAATCAATTTTCATATTAGTGTAATAAAGAAATTATTAATCATCATAATTATGTTGCAAACAACAAGTATCTGTATTGCTGATTGTTAAATTTAATACTGACTACTTCTATATTAAATGCCATGTATTGTGTTAATACTCGTAATACATATACATAGTAAAATTTTTTGTATCTGAACAATCGGAAAAGAATGTTTAGTTACAGTAGATTATTTTTGGATTATAAAGAGTTTTGGATGATGTTATTTTGCCAACGACCATACCACGTTGAACACACCGGTTCTCGTCTGATCACCGAAGTTAAGCAACGTCGGGCGCGGTTAGTACTTAGATGGGGGACCGCTTGGGAACACCGCGTGTTGTTGGCATCAGTCAACTTTTTGCATTTTTTTTACAAACCTTAACAAAAATATTATGAATAACGTTTTGTATGAATTTATTCCTATGCAACTAATTTTTTTATGAGGATTTATTGTGGATTTATATATTACTACTGTTGCTCCTTCGTTTATTAGTATGATGACGAGAAATCCAATTAAATTCTGTTGAGTCTTACAACTCAATGAAAAATTTTTTTGATAGAATTTTTTTAATTACTGAAAAACAATATGTAGGTAATTAAAAAAAATCCTTAATATATTTTGAAGTTTAGCAAAACTAAATTCTACAAACTCTTTTCAATAACAAAATCAATTTTCATATTAGTGTAATAAAGAAATTATTAATCATCATAATTATGTTGCAAACAACAAGTATCTCTATTGTTCTTTGTGTATACTAAGTAGTAACTTTTATGCAATTTGGAAAATATTTTCAGAATTTTTTTGCATTTATTTTGATTTTTTATTTATACTGTTTAATTATAATTACCTGTACCGTTTTCACTCTTCAAAATCCTACATTGGGAGTTTTGCTATTATTTTTCCAACTGTTTTGCTTTTTGCGAAAACTGTTCGAAAAATATTTTATCTGGACGAGAAAACAATATCCATCGTACCATCGTAATTAATTGGGTCTTAATGAACAAGGAAGTGCTTTTGAAATAATTTTTTGTAATAGTTCAGTTTAATACGAGTATTCGTTATAAATTTGGCAACTTATTTCATAAAGTTCGAGAAATAGTCTTATATACATACATACAGATAGGCTTATATACATTTAAGTTTTAAAGTACATTATACAACAATATATTATAATTACTTTTATTTGACATTATATATTTTTGGAAATAAATAAAAATAATTTAATAAATGGCGGTAGGTTTAAATTGGTGGAGATCGAAATTAAGAGTGTTTTTTAATATGCATAAAACTTGCTATTGTTTTTTTTCTTCTTTTTTTTGTAACTGTTAACCGTCTATCTTCATTTTTATCGTATTAGTCTTATGTATAGTTATTAGTATATTTTTTGAATATTTACGTATACATATAATTTTTATACATTTAATTTAATAAGCATGATATACTCATAAAGTTCAATTCTTGCTTCTATATCTTCTTCGAAAATTATTATTCCTTCTAATTTTATTTCTTCTGTTTCCTTTTCTCTTGCGAGAAAAATCTGATTTCCATGTATCATCGTCATCACTATCATTTAGAGGATCATGAAATTTATCATTTACAAAATTTGGAATTGTTTCCTCAAAAGAAACTTCATCATGTGCAATATTTTGTTGTGAGGATTCAGTGGTATGCTGATTTTGTAAATAATTACTTGGTATAATGAATGGAATTATATGAAAATTGGAAGGTATAAGATTATTCACTAATTGTATACCAATAGTGGTACCATCATCTGCATAAATTGGGATTAATGTTGCATTCTTATGAATGATTGCAAACACCGGCTCCACAATTGGCGTTGTATTATCTAAAATAGTATCCATCGCTGCAGTTCCCGAAGACGTTTCTGATCCGTCTGGTTTATTTGGTATGTTTGCTGGCGGTTTTAAAATTGGAAAATTTGCTGGATCCAAAAAGCCAAATATTTGAGATAATGGGGGAAAACCGTCAATTGTTGTAGAAGTAGGTTTATTGGTAGTTGAAGTTAAAGTTGAAGACTGAACAGAAGGCATTGATGATTCACTTGTTTCATTTTCATCTAATAAATTGCTTGACGATGATGTAGAAGACTGTGATGGCTTCGTAGTACTATCCATGCTAATAGATATTGGTATTTGTGGTGGATGAGGTAAAAGATTTTCAAATACATTAGAAACTGAAGGCAAATTGCTGGTTGGTTTATTTGTTGTTGTTGCAGCCGTTGTTGAAGACGATGAGTTTTCAAGTTCAGTATTATCAAATAAATCATTCATGCTTGTAGCGGTCGGCTTTTTTGTAGTAGCTCCAATCATATTAGGTGGGAGAGATACCTGAGGAATATGCGGCAATATGTTTTCGAAAATATTTGGTTGGGATGAAGAAGAAATAACACTGTTTTTTTCGTCTGATAAGTTCTCGGCAGTTGCTGGTGTAGTGGTACCTTGCGGTAATGGTGTTGTGCTTGACGATATCGGTAAATTTGGAATATGTGGCAATAAAGTTTGGAAAATGTTGGTAATGTCAGAAGGATTTGATGGCATTAGTATATTAGATATTTCATCGGAAGAAGGTTTTATACCAGTTTGATTATCAACCTTGTTTGTGTCGGAATTTGAATTTTGCGTTGGTATTTTGATTGGTCCTATCACTGGTAAATTTGGAATATGTGTTGGTGTTATTTGTTGAATAGATGATGTTGCTGACGACTGTCCGGTAAACTTTTTATCATTATCAGATTTATTGCCGGTTTTAGTATCTTTGTCATCATCAGAAAAAATTTCAGTAATAGGAATATTCGATGATTGTGTAGCCAAATCAACCTTATTTTGTTCTAAAATATGTTGAGCAACTAGTGATGAAATTGTTGCTGGATTCGGTACATCAAGAAACATCACATCACTTGGACTTGATAATTCAATTAGTGGTGATAATGTTGACGTTAATATAGAAGGCTTTTTATCATTTTGATTAAAAGTTTGTGTACTTGAATGATAACCACTATTATCAGCAAAATATCGTGTGATAGAAACTAAACCGTTTGGTCGAACTAAACCGTAAGATCCACGAACAGTACCATTCTCTAGTTTTTCTTCATCACGGAATTGAATATTATTTGAAGCATTATCCTCAATTTCATATCCAAATGCATATGTTCCGGGACCTTAAATTTGATGTTTTTTATTTATAGGTTTGTCATTTCACTTCTTACAATATATTTTTAAATTTATAACTAAAATAAAAATTTACCGTAGGGCTCAAATAAATTATATGATGGCAGTTCTGCTATTGTCAATTTCTCTGATTTTATTGGTAACATACGAAATTGCAGAGCCTTTGATTTTTGTTCCGTAATGGTGATAAGAAAGCAGTAAATAATCCATGTTAACTGAAAATAAGAAAAAAAATTTGTATTAAAAATGTCATAAAACACAATTGAATCTTATATGGTATTCCAGAATATTCTGAAAGTGAGCTTTAACTTTTCATCAAAATCAGGAATGATATAACATAGGATAATATTGTATTATACACATAAAACGAACATAAAAACGAACATATGTTGGAAGGGTATACTAAATTTGCCAAACCGTTTGTAACGCTAAGAAATAACGGTCTTAGATATAGACTCAAGTGCATATTTTTGATCAGCGTCGGATTCTGGGTTGATTTAGCTTTGTCTGTCCGTCCGTCCCAGCGATAACTCAAAAACCAATTGATCTAAGTTCATCAAATTTTCATAAATGATTTATTGTAGCAAGTGCCAGAACTCTGTTTAAATTGGACAAGATCTGGGAACCGGTTCGGGTAGCTGTCTTATAACTTCAAAATTTATTTGGCTATATCTCAGAAACTATAAAAGGTGTGGTATTGAAATCTCACATAAAGGAATATATTAGTAGAGCCAATGTATCTCATAAAAGTAGTTGAAATTACTTGGCTCCTTCTGGTACCTGCCATACAACTTCGAAAGTTATTTGACTATATCTCAGGAACTATAAAAGCTTTGGTATTGAAATGTTACACAAACGAATATATAAGTAGGGCTAATGTGTCTCATAAAATTCGTTGAAATTGCTTGGCTTCTTTTGGTACCTGCCATACAACTTCAATATAAGTTTGGCACACACAGTATTTTGAAAAGCACATAATACTGAAATTTTACATAAATTAATATGGTAATACGGCGGCTTAAAGTCATAGTCTGTCTCATAGTCAGTTATGGCATATTTACACATAGGATAACAATTCGTACGGGTATCACAGAGTTGACCAACTCTATTATTTTTCGTTTTTATGTTAATGTCAATTATGTTAATTATGTTAATGATATGTTGCGTCTTTCTCTTGTCTAATTGATTTTTAATTTTGAAGTTAGAAATGCGAAAGAATTTTTAAAAACATCTATAAATGAATACATTAACACAAAACCCTTTTTGCACTATAGCCAATAAAGATCTTTAGTAATTCTGTTAATTAAATCAAATAAAAATAATTTAATAAATTAAAATGCACAATAATATGTAATTCAGGTAGGCCTTTGGTTTGGTTTTTAAATACCAAACTTCGATCTTAAGTATTTTCGTCATGTGTTTACTTTATTTATATTCTATAAATTGGTATTGCACTCAAATTTATGTACAATGTTTAAGTTTAGAAAATAAATTACTTAGTCAATCTATTCATGAGCTTATATATTTATAGTTTGTAAATGGAACGATCTTTTTCGGTATAAGTCAAACATAACCTTAATTTTTTGTTATTACAATTTTTTCATATAACCGTTCAAATATTAATGTAATACATTTCAAATATTAAAGTTAAAATGTCAAAATTACTTCGAAATAACGAGTTGAGACGAGTCAATGTGTTGTAAATTAAAAATACTAATTTCCATCTATCGGAAAAAGAAATGACTTAACTAAACAGATCATGTAGGCACTTGTTTAAGGTATAGTGTTGTGTTAAGTTTTGGCTACTCATGAGTAATTTGAACTGGTTGACACGCAAATAATGTCCAATTAATTAATAAATATGTTAAACATTTTATATTTTTAATCATTTTACAATTAATTGAATTTAATAATTATTCCATTATATACGCGTGTTCCTTGATAAATATTATTGCTGAGTTATTAATTAAAATATTTTTTGACATAAAACATTTTTATAAAAGTCTTTTTTTTTTTAACTTTCTATTCAAATTTTTTTAAATTTTTCGTAAAATTTTTTTTTTTATTTATTTATTGCTGCAAATTTAAATGTCAATAACACCTTGTTTACCGTATTGAAATATATTTTTGTGTGTTTATCGTTCTATAGTTTTCACCTACTATTTTCACAAAAGCTTATCAAATAAATCATTCATTCTTCATTTCATCATATATGTACATATGTACATACAATGAGCTTGAACTATATGAAAGATGTTTAAAAAAACTTCAACTTTTCTTGTTCTTTCTTCTTTTATTTGTATTTATTGTTATTAACTATTTAAAAAATATTATCACGCATTAAATGCGATGATGATGATAGTTAACTATTATTTATTTTTCTTTTATGTTTTCTTTCTAGAAAAGAAATTAACATATCATTCTTCGCGGTTAAAATCTAATAGTAAATATTTTAAAAAATACAAAAAGAAAAAAAAACACTGGTATTTAATGGGTGATTGAGCTTTAAAAATTGGTGTAAACACTTGATTTTTTCTTTTCTTCGCTTTTCGTTACATTTTTTTTTAATTTATTATTTTATTGTTCTTTTAATATTTTTTTTTAATAATTATTTGTCAACAAGAATTTGTATTTAATTTTCTATTTACTTATTTTTGAAAAATTAAGATTTTAAAAATAAATTATTTGACTTACTAATATGTTTACAGACATTGTTGAAAAATTACTCGTTTATAAAATCAATTAGGTTGAATTGAATAAATTTATAAATTAGCAATATGACAAATTTCTATTTTGTCGAAAATTTGACATTAAACCCTATTATAATTTGTAATATTCCACTTTATTTAAAAGTTGAAAGAAAACCATTAGTGCTGTTGCGGTGATACATGAATCGCGTGAAAACCAAATCTTTTAAAATCGAATAAGAAAAAAAAATATATTTAAATTTATTCTTATTTTATTATGACCGCGATATATTTTTGATAATGATGATGATTCCGTTACAAATGTGTATGGTGGATGCGCCCGATATTAAAATGATGATAAACTTAAGTGAAATGAATAGAATCTTTAGAACTTTACGTTTTATATAATAATATAAAAAGCACAAGGAAAAGCAAAAAAAAAAAGTTGAACAACGCTAAATTTTTGCTCTTTTTTTTTTTAAATATTTTTATTCTTTTGAAATATTTAATTCTTGAGATGGTAACTACCGGGATGGTCAACTTTATATTTTGTAAAAAATGGATATAAGATTATTATTTTTAAAGAATTTAAGAATGAAATTTTTGTTTTTTCAAATATTTTTGTTCTTATAATGGGTCACAATTTTTTTATTATTTTATTTGTTTTTTTTTTTTTTAAATTATTCTTACACTTTTGATTGAGCTTTTGTTTTTTTTACTCTCTTAGCATTTTTTTAAAAATCTTTTGAAAACAAAGTGCTTATTAGTTCACTCAGGCCATCTGTCCTTCCGTCTCTCCATGTGTCCGTGCATGGTTGAAGAAAATGTTCCCTTATATCCCCCTATCAAAGTTATTAACACTTAAAATCTTAAAAATGCCATTATTTAACTATTTAATGCAACACGAGAAAAGTAATCGCTGATTTCTTCTTCCGGGGCATGGAATATTTGATCATGGAAATGACAAAATGTCCGTGGTAGGTTAACCGTTATCTAAAACATATATTTTTTTCCTAATTTTTAATATTGTATTTCTTCTAGACAATAAATTGTGGAAGACTGAAATTTGTACAGCAGCTTTTAGTTATTTATATAGTTTATTTCATTAGAAAAAAAATTTTTCCCACATCTATCCCCTCTCAAGTTATCACGACTCGAAATTCGTAAAATTCTAATTTCGGCACCTTAAATGCATCTTCATAGAAAGTTAACGGTAAATGCCTTTGAAAAATATAATTATTTATTTTTATTCACAAAATTAACCTTTGAATTTGTCTTATTTTGTCATCTTTAATGTATACCATAATTTGAAATATTTTGATGTATGAATTAAAGAATTATATTTTAAATCACATTCTAAATATACTATTACAAGTATTATTTTCACGTCTTGTTGAAAGGAAAAGTGCTACTTTACAAGCCATTGATTTGATCCATAACTTTATTTTTTTTTTAGAATTTGAAATTTTAGTTTCCTGTGTGTGATAAATCAAATATTGTTTGAATTGGTGAAAATATGAATTGCCATTAAGTAAGTAGTTGTCGTTCATTAATTAAATTTTTTTAATTGTAAAAATCTAGAATTTATTTTTTTCTGTGTTTTAAATGTTTCGCATTCATTTAGCTTTTATATAATATATAACATAATAAAAACATAATATCATGTTAGCTACTTTTTTGCTAATATTAATTCTAAATTTCATTTTAGGAATTTGAACTTTGAAATACTTATATGTACTGTAGCAAATCTAAGTGGATCAAAAAATTTGCTATATTAAAGAATTGTTGGCATTTTTGAAGCTGCATTCTTTGCTTTTAAATTTTTGATGATAATTTAAATCATGTTCATCGACATCATAACATCCGGGATTTAAATTATATTTTCTATTCGACATTCAAAAACTGAACATGTTAAGTTTCGAACGATGGTAAACATTGCTGTACAAATAATTATAAAAATGACGGCGAAACGCTGTATTAGTGGCAAAAAATTTATTTAGAGTGCTGATAATGATTAAAAAATTAAAGCGTTTTAGTTACAAAATAATTCTTCAATCTCGTACATTTTTTAAGAACATCTTGTACTTACCTTATCTTTCCACGTGTTTTAAATCATCCTGTGAATCAGTTGTAAATTTGCGATGAATTAATCATTTGTATAATTGCGATGACTGCTTTTAGATGAATTAATTAAAGTTTTTGACACTTTATTGAATAGTTTCATATATGAAACTGAAGACAATATTTTACATACATAGAAGTTTAAAGAACGAATTTACATATCAAAAAATTTAATTTTTTTATCACCGGTTTTCAATTATTCTAATAGAATATTTATATATAATTAATAAATTCAGTTTTTGGTTAGTTATAAGGGTCGTTTTTAGTATGCCAAAGAATTGATGATCATGTTAATAACGTCATTCGCTACAATTGACATTTTAAAAATTTTTTCAATAAAAAGGAAAATTTAAAATTTCAAAATTAACATGATTTTTTCGTCATTCATTTTGTCACTTTGTCGTCATTCAATTCAGCCTTTAAAGTAATGCAAAAAAAATAACTAAAATAAATATCAGTTGCGTTGGCATTATACATTGGAATTCATGAGGCGTATACTACGTTGCGTTGGAATTCATGAATAATGTCAGTTACAGGCATTTAATAAACTGGAAAACGACCACACTAAACACAAATTGAAAAAGAAAATGAGGTTTTTAAAATTTAGTTAATTGTCAATTAACGCTTTCTAATATGACTATAAAAACAATAGTATCGCATAAATGGCTTGAAAATTAGATTGAATAACAAAATTAATCATTAATTCCTTAGTTAGGACATCGCCCGACAACTTCTGTTTTATTGTGGTAAATTACAAAAATAACTCTAAAAAACCTATTAAGTAAAAATAAATGGAAAAAAAACTATAAAATATTTTAGTAAATGCTACTTAATTTAAATCTTAGTTTTATTGAATTTTACAATAACCAAGCAATTTGATACATTTTGGTAGATAGATGAAGGATAAATTTTCGCCTCTTTTCAGCAGAATAGATAAATTAATTTTTATGTTAATTTTTTTTTTTTTTTTACCGTGCCATTTTTCTTTTTTATTGTTATTTTAATGATAGTTTTAACTACCCTTATTAAAGAAAATAAAAAGCGGTTTTCTATTTTATTGGCTTTATTTATCAGAACAAAAGTGTTTAAACTTGTGTAGATATTAAATTTTTTATTACAATTTTGCTTGCTTAAAAGGTTTTTTTGTATTAAATTTTTAGTATGTACTCAAATTTCATTAAATATTTGAGAGTTCCACGAAATAAGGTTAATTTTAATATTACATTTTGAATATAAAAAAAAATTATTTTTATATTTGTGAAACTATACTACTACTGTTATATTTTTCAATCAAATATATAAAAATTAATATCATGTGAATATTATTCAAATATAATGTGTATTTTTGCATGTGAAAATTTTCACAAACATATATAAGTATAGTATGTATGTAAGCAATAATTGCAATAATAATTTTATAATGAAAAAAATTTAATATCGAAAATATTCTAGAAAAAATATTTTGTTCAGCTGTTTGAACTCAAATCACGAAATAAAGATTTATCAGCAGTCTAATCGTATATTCCACATTTTCATCTCACTCTTAATTAATTTTTACATCAGATTTCTCATTTTTATTCAATATGTCATTTTTTCCAATAATATTTAGATGGATATTCTATTTTCAATTAGATTTATGCATTTCTTTTCAAATTATCGATTTAAACTTGTGACCTTCCATTCACTTTTTCCCATTCGGTGTGTAAAAAATCTAGTTACACTATTAGATCTATTAAAGCAAAAAGTACTGAAAAAGTAAAAATTCATTAACAAAAATGTCTAAACTTATCATTCTATACAACTAAAACAATAAATATTTTATGATTTAAATTATGTTCATTTAGAAAATATCCTTTATATAATATATTCATCCTTTAAGCTAAAAAAAATTGTATATAACCTAATTCAAAACAAATTTGAATTTTTTAATTATTAACACAAAAACAATGTCTTTTAAATTTAAAAATGCGGTATGTCGGGCCGAATTCATCGTGAGGGTAGGTCTCGAGGAGGTGTTGTAAGGACCAGCGTATAGGGATCTATTATGTGTCCCGCTAGGTGTGGAACATAGCGGGACACATAATAGATGCCTATACGCTGGTCTAGATGTGCTATTATCCCATCTGTCCAATCTCAAATCTACTTATTATAGTCTTCTAAAAAAAAACAAGTATTTTAATAAAATGGCAAACGATGAAATATTTTACATTACAAAATCTATACATAGTATATTTTCAACACAAAATTAAGATCTTTAACAGAATTCGTTGCAAAATCATGTAATTTCTCGTTTTCTTTTCTCTCACATTTGCATATACATCGGTACTTTCGCCCACAAATTTTTGTTTTTATAAGAATCCAGCATTTATGGTGAATTTCAAGTACCGCAAAACAATTATTTTGAATTATTTTATAATTTGTTATTAAAATAAATATTTTAACTCAAATTTTTTCCTTAAGGATATTTTGATATGCTTCTATACATAAATATTTCAATTAATATTTTTATATCACTTTTCCCAGAGTTATAAACTCGTATTTATTGACTAATTGTTTCCATATATATAACAAAAGCACAATATATATGAATATTTAATCTTTTAACCTAAAAAATAAAGCATACAGAGTGATTCAGTAATCATAGTTTAGGACATCAAAAATAAATGAAATATTCGTTTAGAACTAGGTTTCAACGGTTTCCGAGATACGATGATTTTAACGAATATTCACGAAAACAGAAAAGCCTGTTTGTGAAATCTGCGGTGTTTATGACTTCCCTTCGAAAAAAGATAGAAGCTAGAAATAGTTTTAGAAAGGGCTTGTAAAGGGATTGAAATCAACTTCAAGGAAAAGTATAATAACTAACGAAATTGTCGTTATTTTCAATTTTTATCGATTTTAACCGATAATATTCAATTGTTATTAATTTTTCATCAAAAACTTAATCTTAAAAGTAGTTGACTTTTTTTATCTAGTTGACACAATAACCTTTAGTGATTTTGGTGATGTGAACAAAATAACTCACCAAATGTTGCCTGACTTCGCTCTAATTACTGAATCACCCTGTATATAAGTGATTTTTTTAAAGTACCAATTAGAAAAAATAATAATAAGCAAATAGCTGCATGTTTTCTAATAGTTATATTAAACAGAATACTAAGAAAGCTTCGTCAGCTTAAAATAAAATTGCAAAGTGTTTCTATTATTATGGGTAAATTGAAAGCGTTTACAGGTTCAAAAACCTCATAATTTTATTTTTATAAAATTAATATTATGAGCAAAAGGTAGATACTTACAAGTATAGTTGTAGTGATATATACATATGTAAGTAAGGAGAAGTAGTATAATAATAAGATTTTATTGCTACTCTATTGTATAATTTAAAAAAAAAAATGTCATAACGCTCCAAATTAAGATTTAGAAAAAAAAATTAATTCGTGCCCTCAATTTCTTGTATTTTTGCTTTTATGAAAATTTATAAATATTTATAGAATTAATTTAAGTTTTGTTATTCCAGTCTATATTTTTGAAATTAAATTCATAAATTGAAAATTTTTTCAAGATATGCAATATCTATTAGAAAATATTGTTGCATTATAATTAGCACTACACTAAACTTATTATAGAATTGTTAATTAGCATTGAAAAATGATTTTTTTTTAAGTTAAAGTAAAACAAGATGACTATACGAGTATAAGCAATTAGTTAAAACTCTATTTAATGCATATAAATTGTTTGATTATAATAAGAGTTTTTTTGGAATTTTTAGTTGAATGTTATGCAAGTACTTATAGTTGTTATACTCGTATATGAAATTGTAATTATTAAGCTATAATTATATACGATTAAGAAATTGTAAGTAAATAGGCGTTGATTTTTAATTACAAACAAACAATTTATATTTCGAACAGCATGTGTTCAGATCAATGACTACTAAGAATAAATAAATTCTATTCAGATGTCGTCAAATCTTAAAGAATTATACATAGCTTAATCATACAGTACGATAATCTGTAATTGAATTAAATTAGTTTATTTTTTTTAATGAAAATTTATATTATTGTCTTTTTTTGTAATTGTCAATTGATTTTAATTAATTTTATTAACATTAAAGTTATACAGTGTTATTATCCTGATTATTACAGTATTACAATTGCATTCAGATTCCATTAATTCTACTAATTTTGCGAATTGCTTCTGATTTCTTTCTTTCTTTTAAACTAAAAATTTATTAATTAATATTATTGTATACTAACGTTACTTTTGCTTTGCCAGAAAAACAAAAAGGTTTATTACATGCAAC